AAATCACGCCGATTAAGATGGGCTGGTCACGTGGCGCGGTGCATGGGGGAGGATCGAACGGCGCACAAAATATTGGTCGATATACCAAACGGGAGAAGACCATTAGGTAGACCGAGACGTAAATGGGAGGATAATATTAGAAGAGACCTGAAAAAAATTAGGATACGAAGACCACGAATGGAAGGATCGCGCTCAGGGACGGGAACAATAGTCCTAGGATTTGGTATTTGCGGCAATGAACTTTCGAGTAATGTTTATATGACAAAATATGATACTATTTATCGATAGAAATTATTTTTTATTGTTCGTAAAAGATGCGATAATAATAATAAAAGATAAAACGTCATTTTCTCACATAATCAAGATAATTTTGATGAAACAAATTACTTGACAAAAAAAAATAAATAAATGAGAACGTCATACGAAGATGAATTTGTCATAAGACACAACAATTGTAAAATAAAAATGTTAGATAAATAATAACTACCAACCAAATAGAAACTTTATTTTCCCCTTTTTATATTCGTAAAAGCGGATTGTCACTTGACTTGCACAAATAGGATGGAAGATGAATGCAAATGTTTTATACGAACGTTCGTTCGTTCGTTCGTTCGTTCATTCGTTCGTTCGTCGTTCTGTAAGGAACGTGTACCTCGAGAATGGAAATACAAGAGAGTTCCGATGTAGCTTTATCGAATAAGAAAAGTAAAAAAAAAAAAAAAAAAGAAAGAAATAGAGAAGAAAAACGATCGATAGTTCATGGAACTATATTGTACAATAGAATAGAAACGTAACTCTCGTCAAACACGGACCAATATAAAGGGGATTATCATTCTAACAAGTTCTCTCTATTATTAGGTGTCCTTTTACATTGTAACATATGATGTACTAGAAGTTAAAAGCTTTGAATAGAGAAATAGAGGGGGTTTAAGTTTTCAAAGACAACAGGTAAAGAAACGATAACGTAGACGATCGGTATAGATCACAATTGTTGCTAAACGTATCGTCTGCTTCGTCGTCATAGTCATAGTCATAGTCGAGAGAAACTGAGAATGAAATATATTACAGTCCGTTGAAGAAGCTTTTAATGGATTCCATTATTTCTCAGTTTATAGCTACTAGGTCGCATCTGTGAATTTCCTTGTTTCTAAAATGGACTACTCTACCTACAATCTAACAATCTATCTTTGAAGAATGTCTGTGAGTAAGGAGTCCTAGTCCAGAAGCGACAACTTCGTCCTATCCCTCGAATTCACAAGTAACAACCTTTCAACGAACCCTACAAGAGCCTAACGTTCGAGAGACAACGTTCCCTTTTACAAATCGATAATATCTCATTCTTCGAAGTTGCTCATTCATTTAATTACACAATCCTATTATTATTTTATTCCATTTGATTTTCATTCAGAAAGGAAATATCACTTTTTCTAATTAATTATTATTATATGCTCAATCTCTCTCTCTCTCTCTCTCTCTCTTAACGTAATAACGTTCATACAAATGTATTAAATAAAAAAAAAAGTTCATTAACAACGAAACGCATAATCTTGAAAGGTTCCTTAAAATCACAATATCGTAACTTGATTAACACGAATGAGTTGCCCCTTCACCCCCATTTGCTAATCCGTTGAAGCAGAACCCACAATGAGCAGGATAACGAAGCTCTCGACGACGACGACGAAACATTGCAGATGGCTTTGCTCGTCTACGTGGAATTGTTAATTAACGCGAACCACGCCCGTAATCGAGCGCGTTAAAGTGTTATTACGGAACAATAAAGGGGACTCTTATACTTTTACCGACATTCCCATATAATTTCTTAATCCATGAGAGAAGATGTGTTCAAAACGGAAGGGGAAGGGCCACGTTTCTTATCAATTATTATCAACTCATCTTAATTAACTAACTTGCATATAAATTGAGAGAGTGAGAGAATGATAAAGCAAAAAAAAAGAAAAAAAAAAGAAAGAAAACAAACTCAAATATAATATTCTATTATCATTGTGCTTATCTCTTTCTATTAAAAAATATTATAAAATAAAAATAAAATGTAAGCAACAAAAGTTAAACGCTAGTACTTTTTCTGAGTAAAATAAAGAAATAAAAAAGAGAGAAAACTAGAAACAGCGAGAGTAAAAGAAATAAAATAAAATAAAATAAAAAAAAAAAGAGAAAAGTAAAGGGAAACCACCACGCGAAGAGAAAGAGAGAGAGGGAGAGAGAAAACGGTTTACGATATTAAATTCTAGAAATACCATCTCGACCGAAATCCTTCGGCGGCTAATTAAAAATAATTTAGCGATCCAATCGTGAAATTATTAGAGCGAGGCGTTTTACAAAATGAAAAGAGCAATCGAAACGGTACGTTCTTTCTTTGTAAAAGGATATACGACCTTCTTTAAGTGTTTAGCATATTCCGTGATGCATTAAGACACTTACTAGAGTAACTCCCCCATCGAAAATAAGGGAGGATCCTTCAATTCTCTCAATTCGTTTATCTCAGAAAAAGATTTTCTCTCTCTCTCTCTCTCTCTTTCTATTTCTTTTTTTTTTTGAGATACCTGAAAAATATTTCAAAAGAAAATCCACTTACGTATGGAAATATCTACATATATAATACTAGGGGTGCCCTGCCACGCGTTGCTGTGGCTCAGAATCAGTCCGATACACACGTCTTTAAGTCAACGAATTACCTAATATTGCGATTATAAATTGAGATATAAACTATCCTATCTTTCAAGTTAGATGAAACTGCATACAGTGTGCAAAATTTGATTAAAATCGGTTCAGTAGTTTAGGAGTTCATTGCGGACAAACAGTGTGACACGTAATTTATATATTCCAAATCGTAGATCTTCTAAGGCTTTCCCAAAAGTTACAGAATTTTCAATGTTACAAATAAATGTCAAATATTTTCTTATTCTTGTTTTCTTTTCTCTTTTTTTTTAATGTCGTGATATTTGAAAGGTTTCTATAAAGGTTTTTTTTTCATATTTACATGAAACAAATAAAAGTAATACTTATATAATAATAGAAGTATACTGTGTACTTATACCTAAAAGAGGGTTGACAAGTTCTAAGTGAGTTTTACATGTAAAGGTATTGTACGAAATAGAATGACCGGTCATTTCGTACATTGACCGGGAACCCCCGACCGAGTATTCAAGGACACGAGACCGCACAGCTACCCATTACGATATCGAATAAAAAGAAATAACTGAATATAAGAATTTTTGCGAAATTTCTACTCCGGTTTTTTCGCAAACTGTTGGAGATCTGAATTTTTTTAAAAGTACAATGTATATTTTCATGGACTACTACAAGCGTGCAAAGTTTGAATATAAAATCTGTACCTCTCGTAAATGGTTTTGGCCCTTGTTAGTTACAGCAGGACCCTTTGAGATGAATGCAAACAACATTTTCCTCTTCGAAAATGTAAACGAAAAAAAGGAACAATTTCGACTGAACAAACTACGAATATTTAATCCAACATTATTGTATCATACTTCTTACTAATGTTAATAAAAATTTTAAACTAAAAAAGTCAGATACGGAAATTAACAGCATTAATTGCACATAGACTATGTGTGTTTTGTTTATAATTATTATTATAATTAATTTTTTTTTGTTTACAGCTGGAGGCGTGTCGCCGACTTCTTTGTTGCGTGGAGAGGGCGTGCGGAAGCAGAAATACGATTGACGAGAACGAACATAAGATCAATCTTGGTCGACGTGGTGCACAAGCGGGCCCCGAACTGGAGGGGCCCTCTGGTGCCGAAGATGGTATCCTTCCCATCACCGTTAGTCCCAGTCCAGCTTCTACATCATCGCAGGAGGATGCATGCAAACCACCACCACGCAATTGCTATCGTCTCGTCATGCTTGGTAGCGCTAGGGTCGGCAAGACCGCCATTGTAGCACGGTAATCATAATTCTTTTTCAAGAATTTCACATTTTCCATCCAACCTGCGTATTTTCCATTACTAACTTTTGTTACTTATTTTTTCAAAAAAAAAAATCTTCTCCTACATCAAAACATACAAAAACAAAAAGGTAATAACATATTTATTCGAAATCCTGACGTGCGTTAACATTAATATTTATATACATATATGAAAGAAAAAGAAGAAGAAAAAAAAAAAAAGCTCATTACACTCGAGAAGAATTGCATCTCTTACGGCGTCGTTTGCGGTAGCGAATGGTTAGAAAGGATAAAAAAAACCCTTGGGCTTTACAACGAGCGTAATTAAAGCATTATGTTCTTCTCGTCGTTTCTCGGGTAAGGTAACGAGAGACACGACCATCGCGATCTAACAACTTTTAGTGAACTTTCCTAACATCGACGAAGAATACGATGTAGAAGTTTTGAATCTCTGCCATTCCGAGTTTCGTTTTGTTAGACCGCGTGAGTTAACGTTAAGAAGAACATTAACTTACCGGTTAACTGCCCTTTTTTTTTATTTCTTCCCTTATCTTTGAAATTAAAACGAACATCAATCTCTCGCTACAGTTTATTTTATGATATCGAGAGAATAATAGTATAATATATTGTGCAACTATAGTGCGAAGTTGTCGATTGCCCACGAGAGCGAATGAGCGCCCTCGCTCGAACTTCGCTCGAGTGGGCAATCGACAACTTCGCACTAGTTGCATATACTATTTTTCATTATGATTGCGGGGACATATTTGGTACATAATTGGGGTCCAGGGGCGAAGCTCCGGCGGGGCACAGGGGCAGAGCCCCTCTCCACAAAACAATACTGAAACAGTTCAAAAATTATAAAATAAAATAAATGAAGAACTACATATTAATCTTATCGCCTACAATATTGACACTTTGATTGTCTTTTAATTACTTATAGCGACAAGTAAACTTTTCGCACTCAAATTGTACAGTAGGCAAACGGCGTCTTTTCGACCCCAATAGCGACCGCAAAAATAGTACTTTTTCCGCATGAGTAATAAAAAAATTATTTTTGTAACTCCTGCTTTCAAAGTTCAATATTGGATCCTTTCCTATCAACCTACGTAAAGTCACGTATTCTCGTGATGGTTGTAACTATATAGTAGCTATGGTTGTAACTAAAGTAGCGTGCGGGAAAGTAGGCGGAGTCGAACTTCTCAACTGATTGACCGTGCGAGAATGAAAATTAACTACAAAAAATGTATACGATTCCTAGAATGTATGTGTTCGCCACTACCACTACATTCAAACCATCAAGCGTACTGAGACTAATTCTAGCGCCTGCGCATATCAAATAACCACTCATGAAAAGCAGCCTGTCGATCATATGTTCAACTCTGTGCAATTCCTAACCATAACTGCGTGTATTATTTATATTATTTATAGTAGTTAAATGAATAATTTCTCTCTATTGAACTTTGAAAGCAGTCGTTACAAAAAATATTGTTCAATACGCATATCCTAACACTCGCCAGAAGAAACGGCGCGTTTACAACGGGGCCGAGTACGCAGATTACCCCCNAGTACGCAGATTACCCCCACGAGCCGTTAGGCCCCGTTGTAAACGCGCCGTTTCTTAGGCTCGTGTCTCAATTTTTAAGCCCTGGAATGGCTCACTTCGCACATATGTATCGAAAATATCTATTTTTACATTTGTTCATTTATTTGTAATATTTATATTAGTTTAACTACGTTTAATCACTTACACGATATTACCTTCTGATTCTTTGGAATGAGTTATTTGTAATGAAACACGTACAGGGTGAATATTAATAATACGAGGATGATATTATTTCATTAATCCGTCGCATTTATCGATGCAAATTATATTCCGTTATATTCGTTAATGTCGCATATTCCTTATTGCCGTATTATCGCGTTAATGCAACAACTAATTCATACGTTTTGCGCATACAAATCGTGGTCCGGTATTATTATCGTTGCCAAAAGCCGTTAATATAAACGTGTCTTATCGACAAACAGTGGAGAGATAAATGCAAAATAGATCATTAGAATTTGACTATTCGTAGCGGAATGTTATTTTTATTAAATTTTTTTTATTAGATAAATTGATGAAATCGAACGGATTGTGATTATAGATGCATATACACACGTATATACGAACAGTAGATAGGATAAATATTTATATATATGTATATAAAATATTTCAAACGAGTTTAGCCAATTTCGTATTTGGCAAGGTTGTTCATTTCCGCCTTTGCGACTATTCGTTACGTCAAATTGACAAACCGCGACCCTGTCAAGCTCTGCGAATTTCCCTAATTTCAAGGTAATTACGCGACTCATTTCGGCGAGAATCCCGAATTGAGGGGGAACGCGATGTTTCCAATCGTGGAAAATGGGAACGCGAGTTTTTTTTTCCTTTTTTCTTTTTTGTAACTCTTTTCTCTCCTTTTTTTTTTTTTTTTTACTAACGAATGAGAAATGAAGATTGACGTAAAACAATCTACCATTGTATTAATCAAATACAATGGTCATGACAAAATCCTTTTTACAATTACGCATGTTTTATTTAATGATCATCATCATTATTATTAATGTAACCGATTAATCAAAATAAGAACTTTAAAATGGAAAATATTTCATTTCGCAGATTTTTATCCAACAAATTCGAAGAGAGTTATACACCCACGATCGAGGATTTTCACAGGAAGCTTTATAGAATCAGGGGCGAAGTGCATCAACTTGATCTCCTGGACACCAGCGGAAACCATCCCTTTCCTGCCATGCGACGATTATCCTTCCTAACCGGTAAGTCCGAGAATCGTAAAAGAAAATGCATCCTACCTTAAAATGTCACCTTTTGTTCTTCACTTACGAATTCATTTTCGTTCACTACTATTTTTTTTTCTTTCTTTTGAGCTACATGTACCTCAAAGGAAACGAAACAAAACGTATATTTCGTTAGAGTTAAATTCAGGAACGTATTACCATGAGACAATAGTCGACTAGACTTTGGGAGGTTATCTCAATGATCCGTTTATCCAAGGATAGAAAATTTCAAATGTTCATAGAAGGATTAGTCGAGATTACGGATAAAAACAGAAATCATTTAGATCATCAATCATTGCTATTTACTATATCTACTACGTTTTACATATTAATATAATCATTTTTGAATAAACGAAATAAAAATATCTAACATTTTGTTTCACAAACAAAATGAAACAAAATTTATATTATTTTTCCACTTTAGTATATCCATAAACAATAAGAGATATATTCATTTATACTTTTTTTCACAACACTCTTTGTATTACGAGAATAGAAATTCCAAGGATGCGTTAACTATTACTATAACTAGTTTCATCACCATTCTTCATTTCTTGTTGACGTTTACATTCGCGGCTCGTCTCACATCTTCTCTAGCGAACTTGTTACAGGAAGCTCCGGTATCATATACGATCCAACTTATTAGCTTGTGAGCTTACTCGTTTAAACTGTGTTACGGAGTATTAATATTACCTTACCGATATGTACACAGGTACATACAAACATACATATATGCATACGCATACGTATTCTCTTAGGTAGAATCTAACAAGAAGTACGATAATACTGAGTGGTTCGTCTAATAGGAAACATCAATATATTTCATAGCACGCCTCAATGTAAGCTTCTCGATAGATTTGACAGATTTGCGTATTAAAGGATTATTATTTCCCTAGTAAAAGAAAAGATGAATATTTGATATCTTTAATATATATAAATTACTTGTCACGTTGTTTGTGCGCAATGGACTCTTAAACTATTGAACCGATTTTAATCAAATTTTGCACACTGTGTCTAGTTTCATCCAACTTGAAAGATAGGATAGTTTATATCTCAATTTATAATCGCAATAAGGTGGTATAAGGTAATTCGTTGACTTAAAGACGTGTGCATCGGACTGATTGTGAGCCACAGCAACGTGTGGCGAAGCACCCCTAGTAAAATATAAATTACTAGGATGCTCTGGCCAAACGTTGCTATGGCTTTGTTATAAAATATTGATTTAATATAATTCTAAATTATTTAGTAAATATATAAACAACATAAAATTAAATCCTATACATGTATACATGTTTGTCTGTTTCTCTCTTTTTAGTACCGTAGTTGTGTCATCGTTTCATTGCCGTTACCATGGATTTTCATTCGCCTTTTTCAAATCACTCCCATTCTAAAGAAGTTTCTACTTTAATAAAAGAAGTGGAAAATAAAAAGAAATAGAAAAATAGAAAGAGAAGTTTCAGAGTGTGTTCGTTCGTCCTAAATTTCATAGTGGGAAATCGTACAGTCACAAATATTCTCGCGTGTACGTCTCGATTCTCGAAATATCTAGGAAGAATCTACAAAACTGTTCTAGAAACGTGTAACGTTATTCGAATGTGTTCCCTCTTCGTGTCCGTGTGTGGGATATGAGATCCGAAAGGCAAGCACGTTGCGGTATGGGTTGTTGAAATGGTAAAAGTATGGCTGATATTTTTCGTGTCTCTCATGTGATTCTGTATGTACGTACTCACGAACTGTATAAAAAGTACGAACGAATGGAATAGTACCAGGAATCCAGATCTTGAAAATCCATAGAATCTATCGTAGGAAAAATGAATGAAACTCGATAAAGAATTCGCGAATCGACATTGGAAAAGAATAAGATCAAAATAGTAGAAAAGTGATAGAAGTAGAAGAAGAAGATTTCGGTTTGTTGAAACGTCGAAAAGATGCGCGTTGAAAAGATGCTGATACTAAACTAAAATGGACGAGAATGAACGAACGAACGAACAGGGCAAATATAAGCGCCAAAAGAAAAGTGTCCTTATCCGTTTTCCTATCATCTTTCTCATCTTCTCAACATCTCCTTCACTATTTTTATCTATGATAGATCCTTAAGAATATACCAAACGTTAAGTGCCAACTATTCTTTCCCGTATTTCAAATCGTTCACCCTTTACCACTTATCGGTTTACCTTCCTTTCCCCCCTGATATAAGATCTTTTATTATTGAACACGGGGGGAAGCAAACACGACAAATAAGAAAAGACAAATTTTTATGTTAAATCGATCCTTTTACTCTCTCTCTTACAATATCGCAATACTAGTTCGACAAATCGATTGTCCTACCTTTGTAATCCGTTTTTAGCAACAGTATACAACCGATTCTAACGTCATAACGTTTTGTTTAGAATATTACAAATGTTTAATGTTTATTTTTGTATTTATAAAAATGTTAATCTACGAGTAAACCTAAAACGTGTGAGCAACGATAACGTATTTAACGCATGGTATAAATAATACCATATAAAATGTATGATTATAATTTATAAACGTTCGGTGTTAAGCTTCGAGCAGTTAATTCTCCAAACATATCTAGCTTATATACATAAATCGTATTTCGATGAAATTATTTGAAAATAAGATAAATATTTCATGCCTATGTATACCTATATATGTATATATATAATCGAAATAAATCGTTTATTACAAATGATCGTCGTAAAATCGAGATACGGCAATCCTCGGTACGATTGCTCGATTAAAAAATATATTTTACTGCATGTGTGTGTGTGTACATACGAGTGTGCATTTACTGCTGCACCCTTCTTTCATTTTCCTCCCTTCTTTCTCTCACTCTCTCTCTCTCTCTCTCTCTCACTTTGCATCGTTAAATTGCATCGTATCATGCTCGATCCGCGTGGTCGAACGTGTAATGCCGAGTGCACGACCGCGTGCATGCGTATTGATCATTCCAACTCGAGCAGTGATAAATGGTAGGTGTAGCAGAAACGATCACGCGTATGGTAGACCGGGTATGACAACCACGTGATATTCCACATGTCATTCCGATGAATTATCAAATTTGCATGCGTGATCGACCTAAAAGTCAAGGAAAACGTCGGACCCCCTCAACCCACACCTCTTCGTTACGTTACGTTACGTTACGTTACGTTACGTTACGCGAATTTCATATCGTTGCCAACATGCTACTGGCTCGCATTTTTTCCCCAACATTAAATTAATCGGTTTACAAGAGGTCGAGGTCACACGAGTACAATTTTTCTTATGAGAAAATCGAAACGAATAGGAATGCAAGATTGATTGTATCTGTTTCTCCTTGATTGATCCTGTTTCTCAATCTTTTGTATTATGTTTTTCATTTTTCTTTTCATCCTCTCGTTTTTTTTTTTGGTTTCTTTTATTTCTGTTATTCCTTGCTTTACGTTCTTGCTTTACAAATATCGTTATTCATTGTAACACTAGACTAAGGGAGAGAGAGGAATCATTCTTAGGCATTAGTAAAGAACATCGATATTCCATGAGAGTAAACCGATACCCTAAAACGCGATAATGCAAAAAGCTGTTAGCTAGCTAGCTAGTAGTAGTAGTAGTAGTAGTGGTGGTTATGTTTGAAAACCGATTCGACTGTGAAACTTGGTGATCGTAAAAGTCGAAGGGTGAGCTTTACGAAAGCGTGAACGACATTTCATGAAGCGAGTTGGACCGAATACTAAAACGTGTACCACTATCGTAAATAAATACCGTAAGTAAGTAACATATATATACAGAGTGTTCAAAAATAACCATTATAGTATATAGAATACAGTGTACTAAGTAAAAAAGCTTTAGTAAACATCGGTCCGAAAGTCAATCATTTTTGAGATATAAATATTTGTTTGTTTGCTAGTACCATGATTGACTTACTTCTTTCCATCGAATGCAATGTGTTAACTATAGTGTTTTTAAATGACATTGTAAATGTGTTTATTCAAGTACCAAAAGTATATTTCATTGAGAATCAATCAGTTGTGAAACAGCGATTGCAAATATTAAATAGTTACAAAGTATCGTGAAAATGTCAGTGTATTATTCACCAAGCTTGTCAAACAATTTCACAACTTTGTAAAAAGAAAATAATTATGCATGTGTAGAAATGAAAGGTGGATACTTGAAAAAATCTTCTTCAAACATCGCAAATTCAATAATAAGTCGATTATATTAATAATAAATCAAAAAATGTTAATATCTCAGAAATGGTTGACCTTTCGACCTACGTTAACTAAAGCTTTTTTATTCAGTACAATGTATCCTATATACCGTATAAATATTGAATATGTTTTTAGAACACTCTGTATATATATGTATATGTATACAATAATATTAATAAATAAAAATTGTACATACAAGTAAAGAAGAAGTAGAAGACGACGAATATAAAACGCACATACATATATCTCAGTGTGATTCGTAATATAAATAAAAATGCGGAGCATTTATGCGGTATAAGATTATGCAAGGACATATAAATCGCAAGAAACTTGGTAGACGTCAACACAAGCTCGAAGAACGATCTGTGAACTTTCTGATGTTCTCACAGAAACGACGAAGAAACTCGATCGTATACAACAAGAACAAACTCACCATCCTTTTTCTCGAGAATACAATGAATATACATACATACGTATATATGTATACATATGTATACTACCTCTTGGTATATAAATACAGGCGACAGACGTCAGATGTGTCCGGGGCACGAAATGCGTTAGCACGCAAACTCTAGAACGGTGACCCCAATTCAAAGACAATGGACACTATGCGAGTGAAGGGAATTCCTTTTTCGAATCAGAAGGTGCACTCTTCGCGATATAATACCCGACGGATACATCATCGTACGAAACAATGAAGGGGAGAGAAGCTCAGGAAAAGGAAAAAGGAAAACGACTAGGTTGCTGCAAGCTTTCTCAGAAATAAAGCATTCCAACGAGAACGACGTTGTAACGGAGGTAACGGAAGTTCGAGGCGAGAAAGAAAAAAAAGAAAAAAAAAAGAAAAAAAAGAAAAAAAGAAAGAAAGCAAAGATGGAGAAACATAACCAAAAAGAATAAAAACATGAATCGACGAGAAAGACGGAAAACTAGACCGCTGGAGAATTTATTATTAGGTTAAAAGGGGAGAAAAAAGAATAAGGGACGTCTTACCATTAGTAGAAGGCTCCTTTGGTTTGACGTTAATCGAATCACGTATAAAAATATATATTGTATTTTCTCTCACACTATAGTGTGCATTAAATTCGTACTCGCATTTCTTATCGATGTTTTATTAAGATATGCGAACGTATGTAAATTTATGTTACCATGCCGAGCCGTTTGCAGCAAATTTTCGATGATAATCGTATCTTCCACGAAGCAAACTCGTTAACCGAGCGAGGATTTACGTGTATACGTTAACCGCGAATACTCCAGTATTATTATACATACATAATATACATATACCAAAGCACAAGGGTCTGACCATATTCCCGATCATATTCCTAGCTACGTTGTTTCAGTAGAACTAAACGATTTTAGTCAGACGCTTTCTACGCGACCTAACCGAGTAGTATCGTTTCGCATTACGTTGTTGTTGTTGTTTAAATCATTAGGAATTCTTATCATAATCCAAAAGAGAACTTTTTTCGATTTACTAAATTATTTCAATTGACCAAAGAAACATTCTACGAAAGATCATTTTATCTTAATATATATATATATATAAATTACGTGTCACGTTGTTTGTGCGCAATGGACTCCTAAACAACTGAACCAATGTTAATAAAAGTTTGCACACTGTGTGCAGTTTCATCCAACTTGAAAGATAGATAGTTTATTCTTATTTATTTATTAACAAAGAGTCATGATTATCTCTGTTAGTTCGGACTGATTGTAAGCCACAGCAACGCGTGGTGGGGCACCCCTAGTTTGATATAAATTCGAAATAAGAAAGATGAAACGAGATGATCATTAAACTTCGTTAAAATTAAAAAAGACCACCGCAAATCTCACCGTAAAGGGCTAATTCATTCTCGTTTTTCGATCAATCGTTCGATCGAATTATCGATAATAAAAATGTTGAAAAATATTCTCACCAAGCTTGAACATTTTATTATGACCTCGATTTCTATTTACGTCATGCCAGTTCGCTCGAGTTAATTACACTTTTGGTTTGGGACGCAACAGTTTTACAAACGTAAAGTTACATTTTTTTTTTTTCTTTTTTTTTCATACTATCAACGTTAACTTTCATTCACCATAGAAAAGTCTTCTCGCATACGAGTTTTTATATTGAAGTAAGATCATTAATCTAGTAAGCTTTCCGGACTAATCCACATTCGCGTTATTTTTAATCGAGGTGACGTAGCTGGTAAAATCAACGTCGGTTGTTACATTGAATTACATCAGACAATAGTTGGACTTTCTAAAAATATCCTTCGTGGAAAAGTTTAACAAAAAAAAAAACAAAAAGAAAAAAAAAAGTAGAAACGCAAACCCTCATTATTTATCGGTGCGTTTCTTTACTCTTTTGTTCTTTCTTTCTTGTTTTTCTTTTTTTTATTGTTGTATTTTTATCACTTTTAAGTCAAGTAGAAAGAGCACGTGAATAATTAGTCAAGCTACGTTATCTATGTAAATTGTAACTCGTCTTAAAAACTAGTAAAGACCAAGAACTAGGCGTTCCTGTTGTTGTTGTTTTTGTTGTTGATAATGTTAACGGTTGCCCTATACACGATTTTCTTATCCCTTTTACCGATCGAACTTCTTTTACAGTTTATACAGTGAGAGGGAGAGCATCAGGCAAGGTACATTTGCATAACAAATTTTAATCGTTAAGTCTTCGCGTACCAACTCAAGGTGTAAGACGACTAACCAAAGTTGCTTAACGTAACATGTTAATTTTCGATAGAAGACAAAAAAAGAAAGAAAAAAAAACTCACCCCGTTTGTTAGCAGATTAGAAAATTCCTTTTTCTTTTTGTTTCGTATTCTTCGATAATTTAAAATCTTTCGTTGCTTTTGAGTTCTTTCGGATATCACTGGAGCGTATCTTTTCCCCTTCCCTTCACCCCTATCCAATGGATTTGAATATTAATCAGCCAAAGAAAGGGAAAATCAGGCCAATCGCGATACTTCAATCCCGGGACCCAGAAGTTGTACGAACTCGCGTTTACTCTTGGAAAAAAGTAATTCTTCAAAAGGGCTTTGAAAATTCATCATTACAACATGGTGGGAGGTGGTAGGCGACTTATTCTCGAACGAATAACGTTTTCCAATCGCTATCGAGAATTTCGTAATTATCTAATTTCCTATCACGTCCTCGTTTTCTAACTGAAACTTTTTGTTTCCTCAAAATTCGAATCGAGTTTATCGATTGATGGTAATATAATCGAACGACACGACACGACACAAATCAGCTTGAATATTAATAATCAAAAGGAAAGTATTTTAAATATCCAATATTTTGTTACGTATCCGATAAATTTACATTTACATTTCGATCAGTTTTTCTACAAATTTCATTTTTCGTGAAAACCGTCAAGTTGCAACAAAAATACGCGTGTTCTATAAAAAAAAAAAAAATAAAAACGCACGTATATATATATATATAGGTAAATTGTTTAAATGCGAATCGTAGTACCCGTATAGAACCTTTTAACAGTTGACATTTGAAACGCACGAAAAAAAAATCGCGAACACGACCTTTCGCGTTGACGGAATAATCGATCTGCTCTTCCTTCCTTCGTTTATTGTTATTGTATTCTTAGCCTCGACCTATTGCAATACTTACCAATCGTTTTTTCAAAGAGGCCAACTAACATAAGTTAATCCTGATTCTTGTAACATGCACGCGAATGTTCACTTACATTTTTACATACACCAGGTTCATGCGATGCATGATGCATTCTTGACCAATTGAATATTTATCGAGAATTAAACTGTTTATATTTTAATTAACATTCATTTTTGTTTTGTTTTGCAGGAGATTTGTTTGTGGTGGTGTTTAGTATGGATTGTCGAGAATCTTTCGAGGAAGCAATCAGATTGCGAGAAGCTATCATCGAAACTAAGATAAGCGCTGCCCAAGGTGTAACCAAAAGTAGAAACAAGAGTCATTACAGCTTAAAGGTTCCTATGGTCATTGTGGGAAATAAATGCGATAAGGATACAAAGTACGTTAACTTTTTTTTTTTTAACTTTTCAAATGTTTGAAAACAAATAACTTTTGCAATTTAACCCTCTATAATATCATTTTGTTCACAATTTAATGCACAATGCTTTTTTTTTTTTTTATTTCAAAATTTAATCTTTCTCTCTAATGTCAATTAAAAAGAAAAAGAAACCGAACAACAATAGATGCAATAATACTTATTGCATTAATTTATTATATTATCTTATCTTAATATATATAAATGACGTGTCACGTTGTTTGTACGCAATTGACTCCTAAACTATTGAACCGATTTTAAGAAAAATTTTCACACTGTGTGCAGTTTCATCCAACTTGAAAGATAGGATAGTTTATATCATTCTAACAGATGGCGGAATAAGGTAATTCGTTGACTTAAAGACGTGTGTATCGGACTGGGCCACCCCTAGTTTATTATATGTATTTATTAAATACACTACTCGATTGAAATACATTCTATATTTGTTTTAAATGTAACATTCTGAAAATATATATTTGAAATGTTATATTGAATACCTGGTGTATATTAAAACGTAATATTATCACAGTACGTTAAGTATAAATTAGAAAAAAGAGAACAGAAACATCTTAAACAAACTTCCTATGCATATGAAATAACAAATAATAATTGTATATTATAATTAGAAGAAAAATGTTCATGCATATAATCAAATGCAGGATGATTTATTAATTATATAATATTATAGAGGATTAAAAGAATAACATTATATAAAATGATAAATAATTTTGGTTAAACCATACCTGTTTTAGAAGCGTCACAATTGAGGAAGCCGAGGAGTATTGTGCGAGTCAGGACGACTGTTGCGTTTTCGTCGAAGTTTCCGCCAAACGAAATTACCACGTGGACGAACTTTTCTATCAGCTTTTCGTCGTAGCCGGTTTGCCATTAGAAATGGCACCGAATCATCATAGAAAAGTTCCTCTTACTTTTGGCTCACCCACCATGCTACCACCATCGCAGGTATTTATTTGCATATATTAACTAATTATACACACACACACACAAAAATCATTATATATTGAAATTATTTCATTCGTTAAATAATTGCATATTCATGAAAATATTTTTCAAATCAAATTGTGTTTCATTTTGTTACATACATTACATCGTTATTTTAATACATTTAAATTCTTCTTAAAGAGCACATAGTTGACTTTTAAACGAAACCATGCAATAAATAAATGAAATAAAAAAAAAAACAATATGAGTCATAATATTTTTATCGTGAAATCTTGTCTGAACAATTTTTCTCAATAATGTCATGTTCTCGAGATATAAATCTGTAACGTTATACTTTAAACATACGATATATATATATATATATTGTAATATTGTATTACATCCATCATATTAAAAAAAAAAAAACATTAAATACTTTGCATATATATATATATAAATGAATAAAAGATAATTTTATGGTTATAAATGAAGGGAGATTTGTGAAATACATTAAAATAATAATTTCATTCGTAATGAAATATTAACATTTATTAATCTTAATATATATAAATGACGTGTCACGTTGTTTGCGCGCAATGGACTCCTAAATTACTGAACCGTTTTTATAAAATTTTGCTCACTGTGTGCAGTTTCATCCAACTTGAAAGATAGGATAGCTAATATCTCAATTTATAATCGCAATATTATTTTATTGCGAATTATTTGTTTATAAGATAAGATTCTAACAGATGACGATAATAAGGTAATTTAGGCATTAATAAAAGCACCTCTAGTAATACATATAATACAATATAATTAATAAAGTTTCATATTTAAACAAAAACATATATTATTAATATTGATAATAATAATAATAATTCATATGAAGTAATTATTAATCACATTGAATTGAATGATTTTGAAATAAACATGGCATTATGGAGATTTAACGATTACATTTGGTTGAAAAATGAGAGGCAATTTAAGTAAGTAAAAAATATATATATTTTGTTCGCAGCCAAAGCACAAGGCAACTTTGAGCATAAAGCGTCGATTAAGCGACGCCTGCGGCGTCGTGGCGCCTAACGTGCGACGACCCAGCATAAGGACGGACCTGATGATCATGCGAACGAAGACGTGCTCGCTCGCGGCAGCAAACGAAAACAACACACCTGGATCGAGAATCATTTTGAGATCTACCGAAGTCGGCAGAACCTGTTCAATTCAGTGATACTCGCGCTAAATTAAATACCCAAATAACGAATCGAAATATTCGTCGAAACGAAATAATGGATAAAGAAAGAGACCGAGAGAGAGAGAGAGAGGGAGAGAGATTAAGCTTTTAAATAATGAACGATTCTCCGCCTAAACGAAAGGATATTTGCAAACTATAAATAATAAAAGAAAAAAGAAATCAATAAAAATATTATAAAAAGGGGGAAAAAAAAACCGACCACGCTGCTCGCCTTAATTAATTAATTAAAGCACTAGTGTATTTAACGTAGTGTGTCCGAAGGTAATATGCCTGATTAAAATAATAATGAGCACACGATAAGAAAAAAAAAAAGTAAAATAAAAACAAAGCAAAAAAAAAAAATACTAAAAAATATAAAAGATTAAAGAAAGATAGAGAGAAAAAAAAAAGGGGAATAAAAGAAAGATTGGAATAAACGGGAATATTCCATCGTCTCCTTTGACGCGAAAAAAAAAACCGGTAGATTATCTGAAAGGGAAAAGCTTTTGAGAAAGTAAGTAAGTTAGTAAGTACATTTTCTTTCTCTCGTGAGAGAGAAAGAACAAGAAAAAGAAGTCACTTTGTATTAATTCGAAGATATTTTAAGAGCACACTTTGTATTATTTTAATTAAATCACGATCATCTTCGAATAAAATAAAACAGATAGGAAGAAAAAGTGCGAAAGAAAAAAAAGCTTAGGCAAAAAAGAAAATTCGAAAAGTCCAGAGAGAGAGAGATTCTTCTTGTATTTTTCCTTTTTCTTTTTCATTTCATTTCGAACAAATAAGACAAAAAAAAAAATCATGGCAAATGAAATTCGAAGAGGATAGAGGAGAAGATTCTTTTTACTATAGAACGTCAAACCGACGTGAACCAATTACCGTATACGTGTAAATAGATAACGATAATGGATATAATGATATTTAATATTTACATGATGGATCAACATTCGCGATAGAACCAAGAAAAAAGGGAGAATGAATTTTTGAAAAAATAAACAAAAATCGTCACAAACCTTCTCAATTGTACTACGATTGCCGAACCACTCTGTATATTAAAAACAAAAACAAAAAACAAAAAAAAAACCAAAAAACAAAACAAGAAAAAAAAGGAACAAAAAAAATCATACACAAAAATTACACATTACTACTTACTTACTTACATACTTACACATATGTACACCTCGCGCACTGCGTCAAATATTTCGAATACACGTACAAAACACGACTTATAAACAATTTTTCCTAAATAATCCACTCAAACAACGCGCAAAATTAAATTGTATAATATTTTAATCGACGTAAGAGAACAAAATTTGCACCATTTTGTTTTTGTTTTTTCGTTTTTTCGTTTTTTTTCGTCGTTACTCGCAACAACAATAAAATAAATCAATAATAATAATAATAATTAATAATAATAATTTACTTAATATATATTTACATCAATTATGATCATTTCATTTATCTTCAATTCCAACTGTATCATTTATTATAAATATTATAAATATTCTTTTTATTTTTGTTATTCTATGATATGATAATTGTGTATAAAAAATACTGCATATCATATACAGGCTTTTTAAAAAGAAAAAAAGCTGTAATACTTGACTAAATACTTGATTAACCCTCGCCCTACGGTCTATCGCCGTTAATGTAAGGACGGTGGCCATCGAAATTATTAATCATCTTTACAAACCCTCTTCCCCTATCTATCATCATAACGTTCATTATTCGAAACTGTAAAATCTGGACAACTCCCCTACTCAAAATACGTAAGAATGAGTGACACTTTGTTACTACCCCATATGCAAATAATAATCAATCACCAATAATAGACAAGTCTTCCGAAAACCCCCGTTATAAAAAGGGCGAGGGTTAATAAATATGTTTTTTTCTTTTGTTTAAATACAAAGCCTGAGATAAAGTAATCGCAATGGAATGAAGAGAACAAAAGTTCTTATTTATCTCTCTACTTAAAATTGATAATTCTTCCATATTCATTTCCTACATTTGTCATGATAAATTAAAATTATACTAATATAAGTGAAACTTGATCAAACGATATGTAATTTCCTATATTAAATATTGAATGTATAAGAAAATTTTATCATCATCTACTATTACCATTGCTCCATGATTGTTCACTAGCAGATGCAAAAATTAAATAGAAACAATTAGCTATCATATTTATTCCAGCTGCCATCCAGAAAACTGTATGCCAACGTGCTAAAGTTTCCTATGAAATCAAAGATAAAAAATAAAATAATGTTGAGACTAAATAAAAAGACGTACGCTTTTCATATAAAATATCAATTGAAAAATACTAAATGTATTACTATAAATAATATTTATATTTATATAAAAATATACTTACATGTCCTTGGACTAATCTACCAATGGCATATGGTGCCAAAAATCCGCAAACATTAGCTGCTGCATTGGTAAGTCCATAAAGAGTACCAGCATATCGTGGTGCTAATGCGATGTGATTCATTTGATTTCCAGCATACACTGCACCTTGTAATGAACCTAATCCGGCAAGCATTATCATAACAGTCATGCTATCACATCCAGCCCAAATAGCACCTAAAAAGCTAAGACTGGGGCCAGCAGAAGCCACTGTATTCCATAATTTGAATGAAGTCAAAGGAGATAAGATTTGTCGAGCAAGAAGAGCATCTGCAAAACTCGATACTAGTAGTCCAACCAACCAAGCACTTAGATATGGTAATGCAGAAAGATATGCATCTTGTTGTACATCAAAATGCAAAATTTTATCCATATATGAAGGAAGTTCTGTTAACAGTGTGTAAAATGCCCAGGATTGACCGCATTGCGTTATAGTTATAGCCCACATAGGCAGAGATGTAAAAATTGATAACCAGGGTACATCAGGATCATCAGTCTATTTTCATAAAAATATAAGTGAGAGATGAGCTCAATTAATAACTTTTTACAACTACATACAATTAACATTTAACTGACCTCATCTTTTTTTTCAACACTGGCTTCAATGTACGCTCTTTCCTGTAGATCAATTCTTACATGCTGGGCAGGTGTATCATAAATAAAGATCAACCAAAATGCATACCAAATAACACCTAAACCTCCAAACAAATAAAATGCGAGTGGCCAGCCACCCCATAATTCCAATGAACACAGCCATCCACTTAGAGGTAGTGATATAACTGTTCCAAAATTTGAACCTAAAAAACAAATTAATTGACAAATAAACAAATACATAGGTTGGAACTTAAATAGTGGCAACTGTTTATACAAAAGAGTTACATGTTTGCACCTGTTACTGTCCTTCGAAGTAGTCACCAACGTTGTGTAGAACCCGTCAGCAGAGCCTGTTCTGTTGATGGTGCGAATGGAGCGGTCGTAGCACATCCATTTCTGCATTTCCGTCAATTCATGCGGAACCTATCGTGGCATTCGCTTCAGAACTGTTCCAGAGATTCGACAGGCAGTAGTCTGCTCCATTCGCACCATCAACAGAGCAAGCTCTGCTAACAGTATACTAAGCCTTCCAAATCGCTGGCAGTAACAGGAGAACACATGTAACTCTTTTGTATCGGTTGTGAATAAATAGTTGCCACTATTTAAGTTCCATGGTTTATAGCATTACCTGCATACACAATTGCTGCAAATTTACTTCTTTCTAATGGTGGAACCCAATGTGCAAGCATAGAATGCATTGCAGGAAAAGTAACACCCTATATTAAATAAATATGAAAATAAATAATAATAGAAAATGTGATGAAGCTTTTATTAGGATTAATTACCTCTGTAAAACCTTCTGCAATTCTCACTACAAGGAATGGTACCAAGCCCCAATATGCTGCAAAGGGACTAATTACGGTCAATACAGCAGTCAAAAAGACTCCTAATCCATATACTAATTTCCCACCAACTTTTTCAGCCATTCTACCTCCTGGTACATTTGTTGTTACATAGCCAAGAAAAAATGCTCCTAATATAACACCTTGAGTTTTTTCATCCCAATTGAATTCTCCTGCACTCTGTCAAAATGATAATAGAAATGAGTTATTTAGTACAACGCAAAATATATCAAGCATTTTTTTTTACAAAACTTTGATATAAAGAGAAATGACTAATAAAAGTGTGTAACACGTGATATGAGTTAAAAATGATAACAAGAAAAAGAATAAATTTGATAATGTTATCGTACACGTAACTCGACTATTAAACTAACCATTTTTACTTGTGATTTTGTGTTAAGTTAACTGAATTAGAAAATAAATATTTGAGATATATGAAATATTAAAATAATCCAACAAAAACAAAAATAAATTTTTCATATTTTTCAATTTTATAAGTTTTATTAGAATTTCCAAAAAAAAATAATGAAATCAATAGTATTAGATATAAAAAAAATTGAACATACTGGTATAAACGTTCCATTTATAGGATTCACTTTAGGACAAACATCAGTATCATTATCATCATCCGTATTAGGTATAGCTGTCTGATTGACCATTGAAACAATAGCAACAGATAAATTCACTCTCATTGCATATACAAGAGCAAAGCCTAAAAAACCTAGGAAACCTAGGGTATAGCGTGCTTTTATACATGATTTAGTATCAGATGGATTCTGTTCTAAGTCATCTGAAACAAATATTATTGTGAAATCAAATTATGTGAATCACATATATTAGAGTAAGTTATTATGGAACTAATCAATGTATTTTGAAATATAAATATAAACAAATCTCACATTAATTCATCATAAGAATGAAATCTTACATGAATGTTTAAATGCAAATATTCGAAATTAATTGAAATATCATCTTATTTCTATAATTTTAAAGTTTATGCGATTAGACAATAAATTATGACATATTGTTGAGCATAAATACACACTTCCGTTAAGTCCAAATAGTAAAACACAGTAGTTACATGGCATTAGGTACTTCTAGATGCAGAACAAAGGTATATACATATAAACAAAAGATTGTATGATATTGTGAACAAACCTTTCTCCAAATAATCGACGCAAAGTGGTAATTCATCTCTCGAAACGGTTGGATCAAGAACTTCCATATTACAATTAAAAACAAATATTACAATGTTCTCAAACTTTAACGATGACTCACTGCCACTGCAATGATCACATTAACGTAATCGTTTGCTTTGTCTTCTAATCGTAACTGGCTATGTAGAACTGTCACTTCTTCTCTCACGAGTAAACTTGTGAGTACACTGAATACTACACATTCTATTATATACACACATTCAAAAGAGTACACTGCTTACTGTGTGTTATTGTTTAGCTTTTATTACTGCACAAAATTTCAACAGTTGGCAAAACAGATCACTAATTAACTTATTATCATTTTCAAAAATAATTGTTTAATTTTATAATAATAGTCTTTAAAAGTCTTTTAAGACAACGTCACACGACAAAAGTCTTTTAACAAACACGTCTATTACAATCAAATCTTTCATTTAATAGTTTGATATTATCATATTTTATAAATTTGAAAATGTAATTTATCGAAGAAGCAAATGATACAGAAACACATAAACGTTCACAAGTCCTCTTCTTCCGAATCAGATTTTTCTTAATTACTACCAGAACCACCAGTGAGTAATAGTAGGTAAAATACTATTATATTCTTTGATAGGATTGTACCGTTCTCTGATAGTGAACTGTCATCGCATTAAGGATCTACTATCGCCTCCTGGTGGTCCCGGTAGTAACTACGATGAATGTGGTAAAACAAAAAACGGGACTTGTGAACTTCTATGTACTTCTATACTTTTTGGAAGAAGTAACATGTTTTATTTACCAACACTTTAGATTATTATTAGGTACCGTTAGTGCTGATGTTAATTTACAAGAGAAAGCAAGATTTTCAAGATCCCGTTATCTTATTCTATTTTAAGCGTTTTCCTTATAATAAAATTAGATAAAGAAGAATATTTATCAATAATTAAATAAGTGGTAGATAAAAACCTACGGAATTGAAAAGTTACATAGTTAAAGAGATATATGTATATAAATGTAATTAGTAAGAAAGTAATTGTATTATTATTATATTAATAAAATATATAATCTTGTATATTCGCGCATAAATATATAATAATATATTCAGTTTGGTTATCATGTTTATTATCTACTTTCAGATTTCGTCCATTAAAAGTTAATTATGATTCACAATTTAAAGTTTCTCAAATTGTAAGGATTCCCTTTAAATATTCTAACCTTACCTAACTTCGCATATTGGGAGTAGTGCGAATGTCTGTGATGTGTGTCATAATGTTTACATGCTAATGAAAAAGGAATATGTGCCGAATGAATAATTTTTTTTCTGGATTTTTATATATCATTAACAATGAACAACTTTGACCTGAGTTTTATTTGGAAAATGGGATGTCTTTGCGCTAAGGAAACTATTATTATAAATACGAGAAAATATACAGTTCGTGAACATCTGGGAGAAGGGTAAGTTACATTAAAGTCTTCTTTTTGTATGTGATTTGTTGTATAATAATTTCATAAATATTACTTATAATTTTTCATAATGTTTTCTTTCGTTTATATCTATATATGAAAATGATATATAACCTCAAAATAAGACAATAGTCTTCTTTTTTCTACATTAAAATAAACATAAAAATATTCTTATAATAAAATATGTATTTGAATTACAGTGGATTTAGTACAGTACTTTTAGTAGAAGATAATATAACACATAAAAAATATGCTATTAAAAAGATTGTTTGTCATGGATCAGAAGACCAACGTTTAGCAATGAAAGAAATAGAATATCATCATCTTGTAAAGCATCCAAATGTTATAGAATGTATTGATTCTACACACAGAGGAACAGCAGATCCTGTTGTCAATTCAACTAGTGAAGTATTACTTGTACTACCTTATTATTATGTAAGTTTATATTATTGTTTATTAACAAAAATTCAATATTATTTTAAATACATATATTTACTATTAAAATCATTATTTCTCTTTAACTCCATTTACAGAGAGGTACATTAGCACATGAGTTAGAAAGACGAGCTAAAAATAATGATTATATGAATCCTATAGATATTTTAATGACCTTTTTACGAATATGTGAGGGTGTACAAGCTTTTCATGAGGCAAAGCCAGATCCTCTTGCGCATAGAGATCTGAAGACTGCAAATATAGTTTTAAATGATCAAAATATGCCTATTATAATGGATTTAGGTACGAAAAAGTAAAATATGTAACCAAAATTGAGAACGCAATTATTATATATAATATTAATCCTTAAAGTGCACACTTGGTGTTTGCCACTCCAACAAATTCGAAAAAATGGGTTATTTGTCTAGTGCCATCTAGTGTTAATTCAGATGGGTATAAAACCTATTTTATTTTAAAAAAACATGTATCAAACTACTTTGAAAAAAATAGCGACTTCAGGAGACACGTTCAAACACGTTGAGGTGTCAAACACCCACAATGCACTTTAACGTAATTTTAACAAGTGTGCACTTTAAGGGTTAAATAATAAAATAATATTTTAGGATCTGTAGCACCGGCAAGAGTTAAAGTTTGTGGTAATCAAGAAGCTCAAACATTGCAAGATGTAGCTGCTGAAAGATGTTCGATGCCATATAGAGCACCGGAGTTATTCAATGTTGAAAGCTACTGTATGATTGATGAACGAACAGATATTTGGGTAATGTTTGTATATAGTTAGCTAGATAATTAACTTACTTATTATAAAAAAAGTCAGTAAATTGTCATCATTATTTCTTTTAGTCTCTAGGATGTATTCTGTATGCCTTATGCTACTTCAAATCTCCATTTGACACTGTTTATGAAAGAGGAGACAGTGTGGCACTCGCTGTTATAAGTGCAAATATTACATTTCCAGAAGAAGCACCCTATAATGAAGTATGTGTGTTAATATTTTTATCTGTAGTATAATAATTTAACAGATTTCATAATAATGTTAAATTTTACTTTTTAGGATATGCAAAATTTAATTCTCTCTATTTTAAAAGTTAATCCAATGCAGCGGCCTTATATATATACTGTTATAGAAAATGTACACGATACTATAACAAAATTCCAAAATAGAGTGTAATTTTATAATGATTGACAGATTAGATATAATTCTGCTTTAGATAAATGCAGAAATATTTATGTTTTTGTTATAAAATTCGAGAAGAAAATTTTTAATGATAAACAATGTGAATAGAAACAGTGATAGATTTTTTATACGCTGAGCGGAATATAATATAATTTTTTTCGTAAATAATTAATCAATATACTCATGGGTAGATTATATTAACAAAGAGAGTGCAAGGTCTTGCCCTCACGGATTTTGTTCAAATTTTCTAGGATAATAGATTTTGCTTCCCTGTTTACGAATATATATGGTTATAGGGGCCACTACTCAATAATTTTTTAGATAATTGCAATTAAAGATGATAAATAAAAATGCCGTTTAATCCTTAAATTCATTTCTCAATTCTCAAATTCCAAAATAATATAAATATAATATCCAAAAATACAATATTCAAAAATAATATTATATGAATATTCAAAAATAATATTATATGAATATTCAAAAATAATATTATATGAATATTCAAAAATAACATTATATGAATATTTAAAAATAATATTGTATGAATATTATTTTTGAATTTGAGAATTGAGAAATGTATTTAAGGATTAAACGACATCTTTATTTAGCATCTTTAATTGCAAATATTTAAAAAATTATTGAATAGTGGCCCTTATTATAACCATATATATTCATAAACAGGGAAGCAAAATTTATTTTCCTACAAAAGTTGAACAAAATCCGTGAAGGCAAGACCTTGCACTCCCCTTGTAAAACTATCTTCAATGAGTAGAATTTTAAGAATTCAAACGTCCAGAATATATAAATATGTGCATTTATAATGCTTTTATAAAACTGTTAAATAACGAACAAATAACTTTCATATTACATTTTTACAAGTGATCAGAGACTATAGTTATATAGAAACTATTTAAGAAATTATCTCTATCTGTTATCACTATAAGATTAAATATTATAAAGGTGGTATTATTTGAAAAGAAACAGTAGTTAGACAAAAATAATAAATCATGTATTATTTCTTTAGTTTATTATTACGATAAAAAAAAACAAAGTATTTATATGCTTTATTATTCAATATAATTTCGCAATTAATATATATATATTTTGTTTTTAATATATATGTAATTAAAAAATATGAACATTTTTTAAAGTGCAAATGCTTCAATATATGACACATTAAACACAACTACGTAATTATCTCTTATTTTCTTTATATTTTTATATCTTTTTTTTTATCATTAGACATAAATTGTGTATCAATGTCGTTTACGATTTTTACGATCGACCAGTTCGATTTGAAACGCCTGATATCGATTCCGGTTGTTCGATCAATAGGAAGGATCGTACGATATGACGTTGTCATGACATACATCATTGCATCATAATGATTTAAGTGTTACCAATCGAATCAAAAACGTAAAAAAAAAAATGAAAAAAGAAAAATCTTATTCATATATATTTTCTATGATTAATAATAACTAATAAAAATATATTTAGTATTATTATTCATTCATCTAATAAGATTGTAGTTAAAACGATTGGATTTTCGAGGTCACGCGTACACGAAATGGCGTGAAGTTTACTCGAAAGTTGGCGTAGTGGCAGCGTTGTCGTAGATAAAAAGAGAAAGAGAGAAAGAAAGAAGGAAAGAAAGAGAAGGAAGGAACAGTTTAAAATAATTTTTTTTTTTCAAGTAAGCACTCCTTGAAGAAAGAACGTATTTCCGCGCTGTCTCTCGTGTTGAAAAGTTCTGTTTAACGTTTATTGCATGTTCATACTCATCGATATTAATTGTAACCTGTAAGTAATATCATTTAATATACTATTTCTATTATCCGTCAAACGTTTCTCCTAACCTTATTTATATAAAATCAATGAATCGGTTTGGATTATATTAGTAATCAAAATAATAAACGAATATTATATTCATTATTTCGTGTCTTTTGTGCAATTCATGTGTATTCTGATTATTATACTAATTATTTGACTATTTTACGAGATTTTATTTATAACATATGATTGTTCAAGTATAATTAACCTCTATCTGAAGTGCAGTATGTTAGTTGAAAATACAATATTGAATTATTTCAATTTAGCCTTATAATATCATAATTAATTAATAAAAACGGGAACATAAGGAAAGTGATTAAAAATGAAATATTATTTGAACAAAGTTTGAATGTCTTCTTAATGTGATATTGATAGTTGACATGTGAAATTACTTCATCAAGATCAAGACATTTCTACATTATTTTGCGTAAATTTAAATAAATAAATATAAAATATTAATTGTTCTAATGAATTATTCCTATGTGTAATATAATCAGGAATGAATGTTTAATATTAAAATCATAGTACACTATTTGTTCTATTACTATTGTAAACAACATATCAAAGTTATGAGGTATTGTTTAATTTGTAACAGCTATTATTAAACTTGTAATTAACTAATGAACATGAGAACAATAATTTTTATCGGATAATTAGTATAATTTGTTCACTTTTATATACCATATTTACTTTCTTATACTTCTAAATTGATTTAAATTTATTGTTAGAAAACAAATTGGAAAGATTCAATTTAATAAAAGTTAACACATAAATATAATCGGATAATATAATAATTATATAAGAGTGAATCAAGAAATATAAATTGGAACAATTATAATAAATAAATAAATATTATAATATAAAAAAACAAATGTGTGCTGATCACACACGGTAAAAGTGAAACCTTCAACGAAAATCAAGCTTCAAAATAATTGAATTGTAATACAGTGCAATCTATTGAAAGAATCTTACAAAACCTAGATAATCTCTAAATAAAAATTGTGCTATGTGCTAAGTTGGACAAAATCACGTGTGAAATAAAATAAATTTCATTAAAATAAGTTGAGTAATTTTGGAATTATTAGTGGACAAACATATTGTTACACTGAATTTTTATGTATATAAAGAATTTAATTAATTAATTAATTATTTTTGTTTCTTCCGTTTCACGATTTTCAAATCACCCTGATTCTAAAGAAGTTTTCACTTGAATAAATCATAAAATAAGATTTTTCAATTTTGTTACTTAGTCCTATACAATAATTTATTACCAACATAATTAATTAAGATTCAATATTTTGATATGAAGTATTCTTCCTTAGTAACAAGTTGTAATCATAGTTTTAAATATAACTATAAATTAATTGAACTATCAGAATGTGTCTTTGCTTTTATTTTCTTTCGTTTTTCTTCGAAACGGATATATGAATGAAACATATATAAATCAACAACATCCTGTTAACGTGCGCATCTATTTATGATCTCAAAATTTTATACAAATGTCAGTAACTAATCGAATTGTAGTTAAACGTTTGAGAATTAAATCAAAATAAACTTTCAATATTATTTACTGATCGTGACGTAGCAAATGCTAATACTTCGCGTAATTATTATACTTTGACGTTTTTAAATTCCTGAATTGTAAATAAGATTAGGTATATTAAGTTGATCAATAAGTATGTACAGTTTTTKTCTTCTTACGTTATTTATTTATATAAAAAAAAAATTGTATGTACTAATCATTTTTTTTCTTTTTTTTGTGAAAATTCAAATTTAATTTTTCGATGTTTATTAACAAATTTGATAAATCATTGATGTGTAATTTTTATTTATTTATTTATTTATACCAGAAATGACAAATTTACATAATAATAACAAAAGTTACTCCATAGTAAATCTTACATAGGATACCTAGTTACCTGTTACCTGTTAGTTACCTGTACATAGGCTGGTACATAACTTAAATTACCAATACTTAAAACTAAGAAAATATAACAAAGATAATAAGATAAAATAATAACTAATATAACTAAGAAAATATGAGTACATTGAAATAACATTAATAAACTTTAGAAAATTATACAGTATCAATTTTTTTTTTTTTTTTGAATGAAACCAAAATTAATCTATGTACTTTTTTTGGCATTGCTCCATGGAAAACTTAAATCATAGCGTTATTTTTGAATTAGAATTTTGCACAATGTTTACAATCAATTGAATTTACTTTTGATTACGAAACCGAAAATACGTGGAACAAATTTGAAACAAATATCGTAACGAAAAAAAAAAAAAGAAAAAGAAATTATGTAGAACTAATTTTGATTATTATAAATAATCTTATTCTGTGCATGACACTTTTTGTCAGAAATAATTTAATTTATGAGTAAATAATATTGTTTTGAATCGACAAGTTAAAATATGTTAGTACTCTGTCCCGAATATTTCGTCTTTATACTTTCTACTGCAACCTACTTGACATCTTTTTCACTGGCATCTTCAAATTTATTATTTTGGGGAGGTCAAGGCCTTTCTCAAATATATCCTTGAACTAGATGATAAGATTGATGCTTTAGTTATCAAAATATATCTTTCAAACGTATCGATAATTGATAATGACACTAAATTAACATAATTCTATAGTATAATAGTCTAGTAATTAAAAAGATTAATTTTATAATTTATTTTCTATTATTTTATTTATTTATTTATTTAACACTAGATTTACGGATGTTTTGTTCATTATTTTTTAATGACGTAATAACATTGTTTGAATAAAGGATTGAGTAAAGGAATTGAACTAATATTTACGTATATTTCATTACGTAACTAAAAACCAATAAGTTTTCAAAAAATAGTATTTAAATTTTATAAATATATAAAATAATCAAATGTTCAATGAGTCAAATTGGCTCAATTCGTAAATCTAGTGTTAATAAATAAATTTTGTTTACTCTAAAGCCGAAGCTCCCTAAGAGTCTCTATACAATAAAGTATAATAATTCATATAAACAATAATAATATTGATAATAATAATAGTAACATTGATTTTAAGCATCACAAGCCTCGCTGAATGTCTCTGTTAATAAAGAAATTATAACACATGGTTCTGAAAACACAATAATCAGTGATAGTCACAATCTCTTCAGGTAGTTGATTTCAAATTCTTAACGCCGTAATTAAGAAAGATTTATCATAATCAATTATTTATATTATTAAACAATAGTTCTATAATATATAATTGAAACACAATAATCAGTGATAGTCACAATCTCTTCAGGTAGTTGATTTCAAATTCTTACCGTCGTAATTAAGAAAGATTTATTATAATCAATTATTAATATTATTAACACGTTGCCGCACACTTTTATTTGACGATCGTGCTTAGAAATACGAAGATCGGACGGTTATAGCCGTCATTTGCGGCAATGGGTTAAACACAATAGTTTTATAATATATATAATTGAATATAATATTAAAATACGTTACTATAACGTGGATATTCGAATACTTATAAATATTGTTTGTATAAGTCTAAAATAGTTTGAAAATGAGGTCCGTTTACAGTTAACACTTACATATATACA